TTCATTCAATAATTTTATTTCTGATAATTTATCCTGCAGATAAACTTGCACATCCATAAAATGATTTGTATACAAGGTTGTTCACGCTAATATTATTTGAAATGAAAACAATTGTTTATCCATTGGGACTGGTAGAATAAAGTATAATGCATTTATATAAGGGAATACTGCGAAACTATAAAAGAGATTAAGGTAGTTCTCCATGTATCGACAACCACAGACCTCCAAAAAATACTGGAGAACACAAGATTGATAACAGCCTATGAAGTGGTTTAACTTTTGTGTAAGGAGGTGAAAGGAGGGAACATATATTTGCTTTTTCACATAAAAAGACCACTGGAAAGTTACACAAAAAATTAATAAATAAAGGTGGTTACTAATGGGAATGGAAAGAGAAAAAGATGGATGGGGAGAAGAAGTGAAGGCGTTTTTATACAGTGTTGATTTTTAAACCCTGGAAATATATAGCCTGCCTCTTCAACTGAACAAATACATTTAAAAACTAAATAAAAGATAATCTCATATTAAAGTAAAAATGAAAATGGCATAGCAATGATAAAAAAGGTTCCTGAGATCCATCAATTTCTCCCAACTTTTAGCTACTGGTGCAGCCAATATTTGGGTAAATGTGGTAAAACAGCTTGGCAGTTTGGTCCAAATGGTGTCTTTGGAGCATAAAATCATTCAGATTCTTCCCTTTGACTTTGTAGCATTCTTAAGATGTTATTAAACAGTTACTCCTTTCTAAGCTCCATGGAGTTACCAGTAAAATGTAAAATGACATTACAGTGTTGTAGCTATGAACTAGTTGGGAATCTCCTTTAAAAGCCTAGAGTGATTTCCATGTGCTGAGTGAAGAAGACCTGGATGTTTGTTTGTTGCTATGTAATAAGAAGAAAACACATTTCTTAAGGAATTTTAATGTGTGAAATTATTTTTTAAAATAAGTAAAATCTATTCATTAATTATGTAATATTTCTCAATCTTCTAAAATACTTAGGTGATGTATTCAGTATGCATAAAATTCATAACAGGAGGCAGAATACAGCATTAGGCAGATGATGTATGTTGAGTACTAAGTTCCTAAAGGAGAAGCCTATAAAGACAGTGCATTATAATTAATAATAAATGTAATAGTATAATTTTTTGTAAAATAAGCAACACATTTATTCAGTAGACAGAAATTACATCATCAATTCAATAAGCTTCTTTCTCATATTTGTATTGACAGCAGTATCTAGAACAATCTAGAAGCCACAGACAGGAGCAATGGCGAAAGTTCCTAAACGTAATTTCCCATTTCCTTTGTCCTATGACTTTTTGGTAAAAAGATAATCAGTGAGTTACCCATTCTGTGTAAGAAATTCTTCCTCCGGATTCTGTTATTTATTTTAGGCAGTGATTTTATAACATGGATGTAGGTAGGTAGGGAGCATTCATTCATTCATTCATTCATTCATTCATATTAATTAAACCCCATGTATGTTCTGTGTATTTTGCAAACATTAGAAATGAAGAGACAAAAGACATATTTCTGCTCCCAAATATTTTCAGTCTAGTGGGGAGAAAGGAAATATCCAACTAATTATAAAGCAGGGTGATATCCTGCTGTAATTGAGTTAAGCAAAAATAGCTGTGAGAAGGCAGAGGTGTGGGACTCTGACTTTTAATGAGGAATCTCAATAACAAGTTTTGAGGAGTTGGTGCCTTAGCTGAAACTTAAAGGATGGAAGAAGTTAACACGGCAAATATTTGAAAAGACAGAAAGGGATTCTAGGTATAGGTAACAGAAAAAAATAATACAAGGCAAGGTAGAGTATAATCCATTCATGAACTGCAGGTGGTTCCAGCCAGGATAGAGCGATGGTTGGGAATGCCAGGAAATGAGTTTTCAGGCTCATCCAGATTGTGATGGAAGCATTACTTTAGATAAGGTCGTAAGGGAAGGCTGATATCTGAATGAACAGAAAGAACCAGCCATGTAGAGCTTGGAGAGAACAACGTTCCCAGCAGAGAACTGCACTTATTGCACATATATGCCTATTTTAAGGAATGGTTGAAGAGCTAGGGAAACTGATTCCTGGTTGTCAGAGACGAACAGAACTATTCCAAATACTCTTCCCCTGACAATTATCTAATCTCTTTTGTTGTCTCTGGAAGTATGGTTCTTTCCCATCAACGAATTCATTCAGTCCCTGTAATCAACTCTGATTAGTGTTGTTTAACATCAATCTTTTCTACTTTTTTTCAAAGAAAGATACCAATCAGTTGCTGCACACCCCTGCTTGTTAAAAGCAGCACCTCTCCTGCTGACTTACCGTTCTTTTAATCAAAAGGGCAGGAGGAAGCAGTTGGGATTCACTTTCCTTTTTTTTCTTTCAAAGTACACAAATGTCAACTTCCTCAAGGATGTCTGGCATAGCTGAGTTCAGTCATGTAACATACAAAGTCAGCTTGATCAAAAGGTTGCAGGCTGCCCACTGCTAAAATGGAGGAGAAAAGGAAACCATGGGCTTCTCTAAAGTGTGAATGAGTGCATAGGCCACTGTTATATGTGTATTTATACTGAACACATGCTGGGCTGACAAGGGAGATTAGGAATGTAAATCCCCAACACTACATTTCTCTATCTTCACCTTTGAACCTCTGGAGCAGCAGTTTCTCTCCTTCCTATTTCTTCTGTTGTGCCCAGTGAAGTAGTTACCATATAGCTTTATAGCAACTGCAAGCCATGGCTATTTTTTGTATATTAAAAAAAAAAAATTTTTGCAGCCAGGCATTGTGGCTCACACTTGTAATCCCAGCACTTTGGGAGGTAGAGGCAGGCGGATCATCTGAGGTCAGGAGTTTGAGGCCAGCCTAGCCAACATGATAAAACCTTGTCTCTACTAAAAAAAAACACAAAAATTAGCTGGGTGTGGTAGCGCATGCCTGTAACCCCAGCTACTCAGGAGGCTGAGGTAGGAGAATAGCTTGGACCCAGGAGGCACAGGTTGCATTAAGCTGAGATCATGCCACTGCACTCCAGTCAGGGTGACACAGTGAGACTCCATCATAAATAAATAAATAAATAAAATTATTTTTGCTACTAATGCCTCAACATTTAGCTGAAGGGCTAAAGGTTGTAATTCTTACCTCTATGAACTTTTAAGTGTTAATAATGAAAACAAGCACAAGAGTCTTCATTAGTTCTCGTATTTTTTTTTGAGATGGAGTCTCACTCTTGTCACCCAGGCTGGAATACAATCGTGCCATCTTGACTCACTGCAACCTCTGCCTCCCGGGTTCAAGCGATTCTTCTGCTTCAGCCTCTCAAGTGGCTGGGATTACAGGCATGCATCACTACACCTGGCTAATTTTTTGTATTTTTAGTAGAGATGGGGTTTCACCATGTTGGCCAGGCTGGGCCCAAATTCCTGACCTCAGGTAATCCATCTGTCTCAGCCTCCCGAAGTGCTGGAATTACAGGTGTGAGCCACCGAGCCCGGTTTCATTCCCTTACTTTAAAAATAAATCAGTATGTGTCATGTGACAAACTCTTATCTGTCAATACAGATACAAACTCCTGTCAATAATTCTCCTGGAAGATGCTCTGGTAACCCAGAACCAGAAAATAATTTTTCCAAAGAGTTGATTATCTTAGACTAAACTGTGACTCAAGTTGGTTTAACAAATAGGGAACACTCTGTAAATACTCACGGACATCTAAACCTGAACATACGTTCTCATTAAGCACAAAAATCATCATATATGGTTACAGTCACCAAACAAGGCTGCGGAAGAATTTAACATTTGTAACAATATACAGCTTGTATAATTACATTTTGTGCAACCTCATAATTGTTTAAAAGTACAACTGAAGTGATGAGAAGGTACATACTCATATAAGGTAACATAGCTCTGTGTTCTAGCTAAAACTAGAATTCAAGATCCAAATTTTTAATCTAGGAACTTTCATGTGATGACCATTTACTAGGCAGGATATTGGGAGTAAAAAGCATAAGGTAATTGATATAGAGAAACAAGGATGCTTTTAAAAAACAAAAACACTGATCTAAAAAAAGACTCTTCTTTATTCTCTTGAAATGGCTCTAAACTCCTGGGAAGAGCATAGGAAGAAATGTATCTATAGGATCACTTTTATATGGGTAAATTAATAAATCATTTCCCCTATGTGCCTTAAGAAATATTTTAGAACAATGTTTCCCAAACTTCACGAATCACAACAATTGACTAGTTTCTTGTTTCAGACCCAAATGCCAAGGTCCCTTCATGCAAGTTTCTTATTCTCTAGGTTTATGGTAGACTCAGGAATGTGCATATCAAGGGTGACCCTGATGATTCTTAGTTCAGGGATGTTTGGGAAATACTGCCCTGGAGAAACCTTTATACAATAGCTAAAACATTTCTTAATTCCTACTGAATAGTCTCATTTTAATATTTCTGTGGTGCATCTTAAGCAGGTGCAGACTCTCATAGTAAATCATAAAATCATAAGTTCCTTTAACATAGCTTAAGATACATTTACTGAGTTTTCAAAATTAGCAAAAAGTCAAATAGGGTTGTTAACTAGCCCATTCCCACAGAAGCATCAACCTGTAATTCCCAAGTATCAACCCTAATGTGTCAAAAAATAAAAGCATATGCCCAGTCATGTAACAGAGGGGTTTTTTTAAAATTTTTATTTCACTGTCAATCTGGTTGATCAGATTACTAATTTCTACTCTGATGGAAATGATCTTTAGAAAAATAGGTCTGCCCTGTTTTGCATTACAGAAATATTAATAATAATGACTTTAAAAAGTAAACAGAACATAAATAAACAGAAAAAGAAACCTCCATATTTTAGTCCAGCCTTTGTCCCGCCTAGTGAAACATCTGTCTCATACCTCTTTGACAAGTAGAAATAAGACCTTTCACATCATCTCATCTCTTTGATAAATCAGTCTATTTCTTTACAAATTTGGTCTAAGACAAAACTCTTCTGCTCTTCTACTTACCATTTAGAATGGCACAGTCAGGAACACCGTCTAAGATGAGCTCACTTCTGGGTATCTTTCAGTTAGACTTCTATTAAGTGGATACCAAGAAAGCTAATCAAGAAAAAAAAATATTCCTGTCACTTCTTTTGCAATAATTCCATAATTTTGAGGAAAATTGAATTCTGGAGAAAAGAATGGTCTGTGCCATCTTATAAGCATGAGATGGAGGAGCAATGACTATAAAGAATATTTTTAATTGTGGTTGCGCTGTAGTTACATTACAAATTGCACAATTAATTCCCACTATCAAATTAAACTGGTAAACAGGCCTAGATTAAAAACACAAGTCTACTCTGCTTGTTTTGCTCTGTTATACACAAAGTAATCTTAAATTCAGTTTATTATCATTAGTATGGTTTCACTTTGGGGCAAAAAAGTCTTTTTCCTCATAAGGCATATTGCATATTGAGATGATGAAGACCAAAGCCAATGCTGTAGAGAATTGTAGGTATATAACTGCTGCTAAAGTGAGCACTTGGTTTAGTAGACTCTTTCCCTTGAAAGCTTGGAGCACAATAATTTTTTCGCACTGGGAGAGAATGTATATCCTGAATGGGGTAGAGCCTGAAAGATAGGGAAATACAGCAGGAAATACACCTGATGGCAGAATCCACCAGCATCAGACAGCATCAGGACAGCATTAAACACAGTGTTTGAAGACAGCAGAGATATGGGGACTCTCAAGGAACACAGAAAGATTACAGATGGTAAGTGAACATGGTTTTGAGAGTCCTTCTCTGCTGGCCACAAGAATATTGGCAGTCAACATTTTCAAGGTCTGTTTAATTATGTCAGTGACCAGAGCTAGCCTCCCAGGTTAAGCAAGAATGAAAACTAACAAGCTGCCCCTAGCTTCCTTCAGGACTTAAATGATAAAGCTATGGCAATCACAGTAGAAGCAGCAGAAGCAGCAACAGCAGCAGCAAGAACATGGTTTTGACCTGCAGTTCTTGCCCATCAAAGAGCTGTGCCCTGTCTGCTCCCACTGACAGGCAGATAAATATGGAGATCTGTCAGCAAGTACATATTTATGTATATCTACAGCTCCCTCACGCAGACTTACAGAGAATGCATAACAGCTTCTAGTGGTATAACAAATGCACCCACTAATGGGGTGAGACCCATTACTCACAAATGGGTAAAAAGAAGCATCAATATGCAGGTCTTAACCCCAGTTTGTGGGCAGAAACCTGTCATTCCATTGCAGGCCGATAGGTCTCCTATTCACACAGTCCTTGTTTAATTTTCCAAACACCCTTTCTCTAAATGGTGCTACTCTGAGCTGTGTAGTGCAGACAGACAGGTTTGACAAGCAGAGCTGTCAATTTCACATTTTTTATCCCAACTGCAGGGCAAAATTAGGCCTTATATGTATCTAGGATTGACTGGTTGGGACGGGAGGAGAGGTTAGCATTTAGGAGGTATTTTCCACATTAGAAACTCAGAACTCAAGATAGAAAACTCATAAAGGGTTGTCCCTATTCAAAATCCATGAAATCAAGAGAGTCTAAAGATGTGTACTGGTGGTCTACTATGGGACACATACATTTTGCTGAAATGAGAAAATAAAGAGAAAAGTAAGGCTTGGTCCCATCTAGAAGGTGCTCTCGGTAGGTATGTAGTGAAAGACACTCACTCAAATACCATAATATAAAATTGGTACTTGCCGTAAGAGAGGAACATAGAAATGTGTACACACAACTCTTGGTCAACCAGGAAGTTGAATATATAAGTAATATATTAGCCAAATTGTTATCCTTCAAAAAATGTTGGAATTGTCCAAAGAAATGCCAACAGGATACATGATAGTTAATGATGGGTGGATTAGGCATACAATGAAAACAAGTTAACCACACTGTTTCTAACAACCAAGTCCCAGAATATCCTTGGGATCTCTGGGACTATCTCAAGCATACAACAGGGCCTGGATGGTTTTGAAATCTTTGCTAGCATATGCTCTGCCCTGAGGTTTCTTTTTGATACTGGTCTGGTTGAACTGAAGAAGGAAGGGAGAAAACATAGAAAAAGAGTTCTCTCTCTATTTTCAGGAGTCAGTCCTAACTATACCAGTAGTACAGTTAAGAACCTAGAATGAATGATCCTCCAGAATCCCGTTGTGCAGATCAACACTCTGTGGTATCTGAGATCTCACAGAGTCTTGCATATCAGGAACTTGTAAACAGGAACTCAGAAGAATCTGTGTGTCCCTGAGTTTATGTTCAAGCTGGCAAACATCAAGAGTAATTTATGTTGTTCAGGAACATACTATAACAAAGCTCTCACTGGCTGGAGGCTTCAGTGAGCCTCATCAAATCAAAAGGCAAAGGAAATCAGGCATTTAAGAGGAGTTTTACAGTTACAATTACCCAAGTCTAGGTGGGACTAGAATTAGGGTTGGTGGGGAAGAGAGATATAAAGTGTCGTTAAACGTTTTGTTTTTTGAAATGTTGCTTTTTGATTCCCACAGTCATGAGTGTTATTTGTGTCTCGATTGCTCTATACTTAAATTACTGTCATTGCCCCTCAGTTGGTATTTCTGACTAATCTCAACCATCTATCCTGCACACTATAGCCAGGTTAACTTCTAAAACACTTTTTTCATTATTTTTGCTTGCCTCTGTAGGTGTTTCAGTCATTCAGCAAATCCTTATTGCATTCTAACTGTATGACAGCCATTGTTGTCATCACCCATAAAAAATAAATCTGGACTCTGCCTGCCGTTTGAAATTCATATCCTAGTCTTCAAGAACATGGATCTCATTTCTAATTTTACTACTTCCTGTATATACCAACTTTATTTCCATTGGTTGATAGTTCTCTTAATCCTCTCTACTTCTCTGTTTTCCCAAATCACACCATTGGCTGCCATCTTTGTTTCTTTCCAAAAGGCGTTTCATTCCATTATCTTTCAATTCCAGCTTTTAAATCTATAGCTAAAGTTCTCCCTCTACTATTAATTAAGCCTTCCATACTCCTTTCTAAGCCACCATAATGCAGATACTGTAGTACTCACTACCTTTCATTATTGGTCATGTTGGTGCATAATTGTAGACTGGTAATTTCCAGTTAGTTTTATGATCCTATGACTAGTCTCTGCAATAAGAGTATAAAAGCCATAAGCTCTCTGTGAGAAGGTATCATGTCTCTGATAGTCAGTAACATTATTAACTGTTGTGACAACTGCAAATTAAGTTTAGCATATTTGTTTCTAAATTTAAATTATACCTCTTAAAATATTTTCTCTTTCTCGTCATAAAAAAAGTCCAAAAGAGGATGACAGTAATAGGAACACAATAAATATATATCCACATGTAATGGTCAGTGGCCTTTTCCAGCTACAATAGTATTGCATTTTAATGTTAGCTCTTTCTTTTTTTACATGATATCCACTACTAGACATACTACTACACTAATGCCAACATTTTCCAGTTAAAATGACATTAATTAAGCTTTAGATGTCATCAGCACTAGCCTAGGGATAGAGTAGGTATGGCGCCACCAGACCAAGTTCAGGATGTAAGATCTCTGATATTTCTCAAGGAGCAAAGATAAGAAGCATAATGAAAAGTAAAACAAGTGGTACAACATATAGTATGCCAAATATTTTAATGCTGATTTTTGTAGATAGAACTTGATATCAGCTTTCATTAATTTATTATTGATATGTGTGTATTTTCTCAAAATATAATAAATATAGAAAAGGGTATGTGAATAACATAGTATGAAGATCGGAATCAAGATTAGAGCTGAGGGAATCAGATTACAATGCAAATGAATAATGAATCACCTATAAGATTAAAGTTCAAATTCTAAATGGAAAGCATTGGCAAAGGCATAAAAACGTTGTTCTTGGGTAATGTTCACAGTTCCATGAAGGAAAAGATGAAGCAGACAGGAGGATGGGCCTACTGTATGGACTGGGTACTGGTATTGAGAGTTTCGTATTAGGCAAGGAGCAAAAATAATCAAGAGAGTTCAGACTGGAAGACTGGGAATGATAGGTAGGCATAGTGAATAGGGTGGCTTAGGTGTACAATGAGGTCAGCATTTAGCACATCAGGTAGCCAGGACTAGGACCTAATCAAGAAGCTGGAAACAGAGAGAAACTCATTCATTCATTCTCTGAACTTACATTTATTTATTGAATAATAGTAGTGGACTGATCTATAGACCTAGACCAGTGGACTGATCAACAGACTTGGACTAGACCATGCTTTTTAACAGAATTTACAGTTTGGAGGGAAAATAGACATGAAAAACTTAAGAAATAAGATGAGAGCGCCCAGAAATCATGAGTAGGTAATAGGAGCGAGGCTCACCCAAGAAGTGATCTTATATCAGCTACTTGAAACCCGTGGTAAAGGTAAACTCAGTAGCAAGCTCACTTCATACGAAGTATGGATTCCTTGTATGTTCTCTGCTTGGGATAATATTAAGATTAAACTATAGGTAAAGCTTACACATCTCATACAAGCAAGCATTCCTAGGTGGGTGGAGTATGCTCACGTGTATTTGTGTCTGTGCATGTAGATTTTTTTCCTAACAAGTATGAACCATGATCCTGTAGCATAAGAATAGGTGATGATGAGGAGAATGACAATGGTAATGATGATAAAAGCAGCTGTTTATTGAGTGCTTATTATATACCAAGTATTGGTTTAAGTATTTTACATTTATTATATTACTCCCCACAGTAATTTTATAATAAAAATAAATTTATGGTCCTCCTCCTCCTTCTCCTCATCCTTAATTTACAGATCAAGAAACAGGCATGAGAATTAAACAGTTTTTCTAAGGTCACAGTGTTGTAGAATCTATGTAGTTTTCACTCTTAATCACACTGTTCTTACTGCCTAAATTCAGGCAAACAACAGAAGAGTTGCCCTACCTCATCTTGGAGCTTACTTATGTCTACACAATATATATTATATATATTCTTATAAAGAGAAATGATTTGAAAATATTCTTACCAGAGCAGTAGCCATTCTCAAAATTATCACAATGGCATATTATATTGTTTAGGCATATTGAGAGTACTGGGGTAACAGATA